CTTCTTGAATATTAACAACTTAAATAATATTTAATAAACCAAACTCTACCAAGTAAAATTAAGGATCGAAATTGAATAAAATTTAAAAGTTAATTTTATAAAGTTGAAAATAATTTATTATACAAAATTGACAAATGAAAAAAGACTTGTGGTGAATTAATCTGTGTGTTACAGGAATATGAAGTTGAACCTGTTCTCTTAATATTACATAATCACCCCTTAGGAGAATGTTTAAGAGCTAAAATAGTTTTTAATAAAATTCGTAACTTATATTATAGGTTACAATATATAATGATATAAAGGATTATATCTGAGCATGTGATGTATATCAATAACAAGGATAAAAATAAAACCCTTAATTTCTACAGCCTATTCCTGTAAAAGGTCCTTTTGAAAAAGTTAAAATTGATTTTGTTGAACCTTTACTTTATACACCTTGAAAAAATAAATATATTATTGTTATTACTAATTATTTAACAAGATAGCTTAAAGCTTGAGCTGTTTCTGATGTAATCATTTTACAGGCTGTTATTTTTATATATAATAAAATTATTTGTTGACATGGATACCCAAAAGTTATTTTATCTGATTGAAAATCTCATTTCTAAAATCAAATAATTGATGATCTCTTGGCCTGATTTGAAATTAAACATGTACATTCTATATCATATCATCTAGAAACAAATGGTCTAATCAAGTAATTTAATCAAATATTATATATACCATCCAAATCCCAAATTATTTTGATATTTCAGCTGTCAAAATTTAGTTTTTATAGTATTTGAAATTTGGAATTTGACATAATTTGAAATTTGAAATTTAAACAATTAATAATTTGAAATTTGGAATTTAGTATTTTTGAATTTGGATGATACTTATATCAAATATTAAGTAATTCTTTAGCAAAAACATCAGAAGTTACAACTAATTGGAATTATACTTGTATATAAAATTATTCTGGAATCCTGAAATTACAATTTTAGTGAAAAAAATCAAAATGGTTTTTCATAGAAGAAGAAATTATTTTACTTAAAATCCAAAAATTTTTAACCACTCAAATTTATTTTCTGGTTAAAGATATACACTGGTCAAAAATTGATAAAACATACACATATCGGATACCCAATATGTGCATGGTGTGTCCCTAATATCGGGTATATATCAGGTACCCGATAGGTGTAGAAAATATATATCAGGTATCTGATAAGTGTAAAAAAATATTTTCTACACTTATCGGGTACCCGATATATACCCGATATTAGGGACACACCATGCACATATCGGATACCCGATATATATATGTTTTATCAATTTTCGACCAGTGATATATAATTGGATACTTTTTTTACTTCTATATATAGAATAGATTCTACATAAATCTCAAAAAATCGAAATATCTCAAAAATCTAAAATCAATTTTGAGAACATATATAATTACTAGTTAAATATAAAAGAAGCACTATATCAAATAGTAATTTCTATACTATAGATTAGTTAAAAATTAATAACAATCAACTGTCTTATTGCATCCTATATTATAATTAGCAAAAATTAGAATTTATTTTCAGTACGACATATCTTTTATATCTGATCTGTATATATATAAGTTAGCTTAGAAAAATTAAAATTCAAATATTACTTTGATAAAAGTGTTAAAGTTATATTATATACTTTAAAAATATAAAATAATCTAAGTATTGTTCTTGAAAAAATATTATTTTTCTTTGTATTTGCAAAGTTAGTTAAAAAATCAATTGAAAAGTTTACTTTAACAAAATAAAAAAAAATAAACAAATTCACCTTTATTTATTTTATTTATTTATTTTATTTATTTATTATTTTTTATTTTATTTTATTTATTTATTGTTTATCTTTTTTTATATGACAAAAATTACATTTTGTATTCTTTATTTTTTTATGTAATCTTATGTTCTTTATTTTTGTGTAATCTTATATTTTTTTTATTTAACAATCATTATTAAAATTTTTTATTTAAAAATATCAAAAATATAATTTAAAATTATCAAAATGTAATTTTAATTTTACCTTATACATTCATTAAATGTTTTATACTATATTTTAGACAATAATCAGTTTTATTTTTTTTACAATTATTTTTATATTTGGTAATGTAATAAAAAGCAGTTTAAAATATATAGTATATATAAAAAGAATAAGATTTAAAATTAAATTTTTAGATATAATTATATTGTATTTATTAAAAATATTTTAGGTTTATATATTAAAATATTAAGAATTAGAAAATACTATATTAAAAATACTGTATTAATAATTTTGTTTATAAAAAAAAAAAAAACTTATTAAATTAAATTTATTTATAAAAATAATATTATAAATTGAAAAATAAATTTTTTTTAAAAAAAAATTTATTAAAAAATATGAAAATTCTTTTCTTTATAGTAATATAATAAAAGTATCTTATTTTTTTATTACTAATTTATTTTCTTTTGTACTAATTTTTATTTTCTTTTTTTCCTTAATCTCAAATTTTTTATTTTAACCTTTGTTAAGGTTCATATCAGTTGGAAATAAAATAATTAAAACTTATTTATTATTTAGACCAATATATTTATACTCTTTAGTTGTGTTTGCTATAATGAGAGTTATAATTAAATTTGTAATTAAAGTTATTTCATTTGAATAAATGTTTTCTTGAATTTATCAAATCTTAGATTTTTTAAAAAAATATATTTTATATTATAAATTTGAGTTTTTTTTTTTTTTTTTACTTTATATTTTAATATAAATGCTATTTATATTTTTTTAAAAATTATAATATTATTGACTTGATATTTCCTGTTTAGTTTATACTTGCACACAAAATTATTTTGAGATCCTGAAATTGCAATTTTGAAGAAAAAAGTCAAAATAGTTTTTCATAGAAGACAAAATTATTTTACTTAAAACCTGAAATTTTTTGATTGAATATATACATAACTGGATACTTTTTTTACTTCCATATATAGAATAGATTCTGTATAAATCTCAAAAAGTCGAAATATTTCAAAAATCCAAAATTAATTTTAGGAACATGTATAGTTCAGTTATTATGTAAATGGATCTAATTTGTATTTTTTTTTTGTACTCCTTTTATTTATGATAATAATATATCCAAAAAAAGTCATATTATAACAGCTCTTATCTTTAACTTAATTAGTTTCTTTGTTTGTGTATTTTTAATTATAGTATTAAATAATGTTCCATATAATTATTATAATGAAATGATATAATTTTTTAAATTAATTAACAATCTGGCTAATTGTACTACTAACAAATTTGGAATATTCTTGTAGAAATATTTGTTATTATTTATTATTATTTATTTATTTACATATTATAATTATTAAAGAAATAATAAAATTTTGTTATTTTGTTATTTTGTTATTGTTTCAAATATTTTGTTTATAAATTAAATTGTATTATATAATTTTTAGAACAGTATTCTTATGGAATCAAATATTTAATAAAATATGTATAGATTAAATTTTTGAGAATAAGATATTAATCAATAGTTTTAAATTTGTATTTGACTATAATTTTGTTCTTGATTATATTATTCTACAAAGTATAGAATTTTTTTGTGTTAATATGTTTGCTAAAATCATTTAAAATTAGTAATTGACTTCTTTACACAATATAGAGTATAAATTTTGTTGTATATTGTATTAAATATAATAATATGTAATTGTAAATTTGTCTAATTAAGTTTAGCATTATCAATTTTATAATATTGGATTATGTGAAGTTTGAGATAAAAATAATTTGATGTATCAAATTATTTAATACTAAAATTGAAAATAAGTTTAATTCATGTTGTTGTAACTGTTAGGGATAGTATTTGAATATGTAAGAGAAAGTTTTGGGGATGAACAACTTCTGTAGCAATGCAGTGTAAAGAAGTAGCTAAGTTTTGAAGATTCTGTTGTTGGGACATTATTAATATTTAAATGTTCTTTTATAATCATCAATTTATTTTTTTTTTTATTTTAAAGTAATTTATATAAAATATCTTCACTTCTACCATTATAATCTCTTTGTAAGCAAGTATATATTATGATTAATTCAATATTTGTATATGATAATTGCTTACTCATTAGGACAATTCAAATAAGATGGAATTCTAACTTGATATTAATATTATTTTATTAATACAAATAATTAAATATAAATTATGTACTGTTTTTTTGTTATAATTATTTTGTTCTAGTTGTATTTATTGCTATTGCTACTATTACAAAATTTGCATTATAGATATATTATAAAAAACAGTTGTTCTTTGTAATTCTTTGTAATTAAACAATAATGGTATAGTATGGATTTATGACCTGTTAGAATCACATATATAATGTAAATTATATTTAGATTAATATGAATTTCATATTTGTATAATGAAAGTTCTAGTTCTAATATATTTCATTTCCATTTACATTTTTCATAATGATTACTAATAGGTTCAACTTTGATTAATCATATTAAATTAGTTTATATATATATATATATAAGTAATAAAGTATTAAAATTAAAATTGATTTATACAATGATCACTATTCTTTTTCTCTTTATTAAAATCTATAGCTTTGATCTATATATTTGGGTAGTGTTTATATCTTATTTTATTCTTTGCCGAGAAAAACAAATTCCCATAATACCTAAATAAAAAGTTCCTAGTAAAATAAAAATATTTATATTTGATTGATAACATATACGTGTATACATATATTGATTAAAAGAAAAAAAAAAAAAAAGAGATTATTTTGTTTTAAAGATAACAGTTTTGAATCTATATTTATATAGCGGTCATGGTTATATTGATGTTTATGTCATATTTGCATATGTTAAAGTTAGGTCATAGTTGTAGTCTAATTAGTATTCGTGTAAATAACAATTAAATCATTTCTGCTATTTCTACATAAATGATTGGTTATCTGTTTTGCCATAAAAAAAATTTTTTTTTTTTTGATAATAAAATAAATAAAATAATGGGAAAAAAAAAAGATGGTGGTGGCGGAGGTGCTAAAGGTAAATCTACCAAAAAATCCACAAATGCTACAGGTATGAAATATCCTATACCTTTGAACATATTCGTTATGATAATTAAGATAATGAAAAATAAAAAATTTATTAATTTATATACTTTATTTATATAATTTATATAATTTGTAAATTTATCTATTATGAAGATAGTGAGTCAGGGAAATCTGAAAAATTGAAAGCTGCTAATAGTATCAAGGAAAGTTTGAATATATTTATATTGAATTTATTATTTTATTTAATGTTAAATAAAGATCTGATTTTTTTTTCTTTTGTTTTTAGGTTAGACATATTTTATGTGAAAAACATTCAAAGGTAAAGATAAAAGATATAATAAATAATAAATATAATTAATAAAAATATTAATAATAAAAATAATAATAAATAATAATAAATAATAATAAATAATAATTATATATTATGAATAGATTACGGAAGCACTTCAAAAATTGACAGTAGATAACATCAGATTTGATAAGGTGAGTTTAAAAATTATACCAATTATAATTATAATGATATTTATATTTTTAATATTAAAGAAATTGTAAATTTCAAATAGGTTGCAGAAGAGTATAGCGAAGATAAAGCAAAACAAGGAGGTAAATAAATATTATAATAATGATAAATAATAATAATAATAAATAATAATAATAATAATAATAATAATGATAATAATAAATAATAATAATTAATTAATTATAATAAATAATAATAATTAATTAATTATAATAAATAATAATAATAGGAAGTTTAGGATGGATGAATCGAGGATCAATGGTTGGAGCATTTCAAGATGCTGCATTTGCTTTACAACCAAGTACATTAGGTAAATTTTTTTTAATTATAATCATCATTATTATATTTTTTTTATTATTAATTTATTATCTCGTGTGGAATTCTACCTTTATAGATTCTCCAATATTTACGAATCCTGTAAGTTTTTTATTATTATTATTATTATTATCAAAAAACATTATTATATGAACTTTATTCTTATTAATTTTTTATCCAATCAAAATATAAATCTGTATATAAATGTATAAAAATATTTGTAGATAAAAACACAACATGGATATCATATAATTATGGTGGTAAGTGCACTTATTTTTCTTAATTATCACGTGTGTTGTCTCATTTCTTTATCACTTGTAATTTATAATCATTGTAATCAATAGGAAGGTCGAAAATAACCACTTAATTATATTTTAAAAAAAATATTACAATAATAATTTTATTTATTTATTTATTTTATTTATTTAAAATAAAATAAATTTATTTTTTCAATGATTTTACATCATAATAAAGTAATAATAAAGATAATAATAATATAATATAATAATAATATACGAACCCAAATTTAAAGAGATATAGAGATAGAAAGAAAAAGAAAAAAAGAAGAAAAAAAAGAAAGAAAAAAGAAAAAAAAAGAAAAAAAAAAGAAAAAGAAAGAAATATAAAGTGAATAACCAATAAAATAAATAACACGAATACAAATACAAATACAAATACAAAAAAAATAATAAAAATATATAAAAATCTTCAAATATATTAAATGATAATTTTTTTTATTTTTCCGTCACCGAATGAAATAATCCCACCATTAATTGATATAACTTTCTAAATTCTATCCATTGAGCTTCTTCTTCTTCTGTCATATTTAATAAATCTAATTGTTCTTCAATATATTGACCGGTCACTTTTACTAATACCAATAAAAACCAGTCAACTGAAGTAAATGTTAAAAATCCTTCTTTAAATGATGAATTGGTATTTGTGGTAGTATTTGTTGTATAAATTGATGATCTGGGTGTATCAAATGTGGGAGAAATTGGAGAATCAAATATATTATTATAAGAATCAGTTCTTGTTGTTGTTGGTGTAGTGGTATTTGAATTGAAAGAAGAAATATTAGAGAGATTAGTAGTATTGATGGTAACAGCATTAATATTGGTAGTATTGAAAGTAGTAGAAATCGGTGAAGAAGAATAAATCTGAGAAGTACTCTTATTGGTAATAGAGGATGAATTAGGAGTTGTTAAAGGAGTAATATTCGTGAAGTTAGTATTGATCGGGGTGATCGGAGCGAAGGTAGTAGTAGTCGGAGTAGATGTAGTCGGAGTAGTGGAATTTGAAATACTCGACATACTTGTCATTCCAAAACTATAAGAACTTTCTCTACTATGTGAAAATGAATTTTTCCTACTTCTTAATAAGAATAATTGTTGTGAATTTAATTTATTTCTTACAATATTATTTTCATTACATAATTGAGGTAATAACGATTGAAGTGAACTTATAAAATCTTTATATCCTTCTTCTACTTCCGTTCTCTTTATTTCAAATTCTTCTTGCTGTTCTAATAATTCTCGATGTTTATAATCTTCATAATGATCTTTTAATTCTTGAGGAAATTCATCTTTTAAATCTTTCGGATAATAATAATTACTATTATTAATATTATTATTACGTGAATTGTGATGTGAATCATAATTTGGATCCAACATTTGAAGTAGGATTAATTGATCAACGAATAATTCATGATATTTTAAATTAAAAAAGAATTCAAATTTCACTTCTTTTAATGCAACATCTAAATCATTTATCAATTGAGTGAAAATATCTTCATTCGGTTCACATTCTTCTTTTACTCCTCCTTCTCTTTCCCCCCTCATACATTCCGTACATTTATTATATTCTCCTTCACAACAATTTCTTCGATTATGACAATAATAATCATTATCTTCATAATTATAATTATCATTATCATAATTATCATCTTCATACATATATTCTTTTTCATTAAGATATTCTTTTTTTTCATCAAATTCCGGTTGTACTTTATTATTATTATTATTATTATGACGACGATTATGACGACGGGAATTATGACTATAACGATTATCGTGATAATGAGGTTCACGTAAAGCTTGTCCAATTTTGTAAAAAAATTCTTTAATTCCTCCCACTATTTTTCCAAATATTAATTCTTTTACCCAAATAATCATTGATTTAAATAATAATTGTGATCTCAATCTTAATTTTGAAAGTAACATCGCGAACCTTTTACCTCCACTTGATTTCTTAAATTGTTTTTCAAAATATTCTAAATGTTTTTTATCAATTTGTTCAAGTGCCGCATTTATTAAATGTAACATGATTTGATCTGCCAATAATGGTGATGGTGGTGATGATGAGGAATGTAAATTTTCTTTGTATAAACGTTTATATGATTTTTGTATTGTTGCAAGTTTTTGTTTAAATAATCGATAATCAATATCGATAAAATAAAGTGCAGTTAGTTGGTCTACTAATATATCATGATGACGAATTTTGGAAAATTGTTCAAGTTTTTGTGCCTTATCCGTAAGCAACATTTTTTTTTTTTTGATTTCTATCGTTCGATAAATTTCTATTTTAGTTAAGAAAAAAATTGAAAGAATATAAAATAATATAGGATATTAATATTAATTATTTTACTAAGAGAAAAAGAACCTCAAAGTCGAGGAAAAAACTACGAGCTAAAAGATACAAAAAAAAAAAAAGGCTATACAAAAAGTTCTTTCAGTTCTTGTTATGGTTCTTGTAAAAAAAAAAATAACGAATAAAATATAAAATAAAATTATAAAAAATTAACGAATTATTGTTTATTTTGGTTATTATTATTATTATTTTTTTTTTTAACAACAAAAAAAAAAAATGAAACAAAAAATAAATGCAGTACCCAACTCTTATAAATAAGAAAACCTAATTCATGTACATTATGTATGTTATGTCAAAAGGAGGAGTACCCGGTTACAAAAATAAAATAATAAATTAATATTGATGCTGTGCATCAATATTATTATTTTGATTAATTTATTTATTTATTTATAATTTATTATTTTAAAGAAAGAAAGAAATAAAAATAAATTATAATAAAAAAAAATAGAATAAATATAAATAAAATGCAAGAAAACTTGAAAATACAGAGAATTATAATATTGTATCATATGAAATTGAAATAGTTCCTTAATTTTTATCTAGTACACAATTAACTTTTTATTTATAACTTTTATCTTTTATAATATTAATGACTATAAAAATAAATGTCATATCAAAACTTTAATTCAGATATTCCCTTAGTTAGTATATTAACATAATAGAGTGTGGAGTTTTAGCGTGTGATTTTTACGTGTGCGGTTTTGCGTGGGGAGTTTTTATTGAATGAATGAATGAATGAATGAATTAATTAATTAATAAATAGTTTGATTTTAAATCGTGTAAAGACTAAAAAAAAAAATCCCTTAATCGTTAAATATTATATCAATTAAATTACTAAAATTACTTAAATTATAATAGTTATAATTTTTTTGTTCTTACTATAATAGAAAAAACAACATAAATAAACAATAAATAAACAATAAATAGAATAATAATAATTTCTCATTATAACCTGATAACTTTTTAAACATAATAATATACTGTCTAAAAAAAAAAGTTTAGATAAATTACTAGTTAACTGTTAACTGTTAAATGTTAATGATGTAATAATTATAAAAATAATAATGATATTTAAATATTTAAATATATAATAATAATGATTATATAATGATTTGATTGTAATAAATACATAATAAACAATCTAGTGATCGATTGAAACCTAACTAAATATAAATAAATGTAAATAAATGTAAATGTAAATAACGTTTCAGTACACAATATTTATAATTATTCTTAGTCGTTATTATTATTCACCTCTTTTTTTTTCCCCCCTTTAAATTTTCCTAAAGACAATACTCAACGCCATGACGGTTTGTTTTTGCTTTCCCAATTGTATGACACGAAGGCTAAAACGATAACGTGAGTATGTGTCGAGTTTTTAAGTAAGGTATGTAAGTTAATTAAGGTAATGTAAAGTAATGTGTGTATTATAATGGTGAATTAATTAATTATAACAATAAATTATAAATTAAAATAAAAATAATAATGATAATGGAAAAACCTTAAAGTGATGATGATACTACAGTTAAAAATTGAAAGATTACAGAAAAATATTCCTTTTTAGAAAATCATCAAATAGAAAATACTGTACAGAAAAGGTATAAAGTATAAGAGTATAATATAGATTTCATTATTCAAGATGTATAAGTAAAGATAAACATATATATATAAGTAAAGATTGGCAAAAGTAAAGATAGGCAATGCAAAGATAGGATGGAGAATTGAAAAGAGGAAGAGAGAAGAATGAAATTTTGATTATCACATGACTAATCGAATTCCATTTATACTTTATTCATTATACTCATATGTATTATACTTGATCATTATTCACTCCGAATTTGGCTAAATGCTAAAATGCCCAATTTCAAATTTAGGGACAACAATTAAAAAAAAAAATATAATCAAGAATAATAATATACATAGAAGCATTCATTCATTCATGTAAAAAAGACAATTGCATAACATAAAATTTACGTAAGTAATTTCTTATTATTACGTTCTCCAAGTACAACATTCTCAAATTAAATAACGGACAAATTAGATTTAAAATTTATTTATTCTTTATTTATTTATTTATTATTTTAAAAGAACATGAACGAACACATGAACGAACCTTCAATCAATTAAACAATAGAAGAAATATCATCTATAGTTATTATTACGTTTTTACATTTTATTAATTAATTAATTAATTTATTTATTTATTTATTTATTTATTTTAATTTTTATTTTACATAATATTACAATTCATTATTATATTTATTATATTTATTATATTTATTATATTTATTATATTTATTATATTTATTATATTTATTATATTTATTATATTTATT